CATAAACTTTTACTTTGATTTACGATTATAAGTGATCATTCAATAGTTTGATCCAATGTTGTGGTTCGTTTAATCATACAGTCAGATCTGTTCGTATCTATATTTTGTTTGAGTTTTCTTTGGATGAATTTGTGATATTTTTCTTGTATGATATTTACCGTCTAAGTGGCTAGTTTCGTGTGTCAATTGTTACAGAATGTCATAATTAAGGTGATAGAAATTCGTTATAATTTTAGAAAAATTTTCTAATTAATTAACTATTTCTATTTATATAAAAAGATAATTATAAATGATATTATATATTAAAAAAAAACCCATGGTGGTGGGAATCAAATTTAATATTTACTGAGATTGATAGGAATAAACGAAACAGTTCCAATATTTCAATGAGTAAACCCCCATGGTGGTGGGAAGCAATCATTTTGAAACAGAAATCTGAGGTTCCAAATACAAATCAGGATCCCACCTAGATTATACGTTGAGCCCCACCACCCCCAAAAATATCAATTAATAATTCATTATTGATGAGCTTCATTTCATCAAGGGTGTAATTATGAAGCTTTTTGGAGTTAAGACATCATTATCTTGATTATGATGCTGCTAAAAACAAGTTTTTGGACACTTTTAATTCGGATAAAATAACTGCATCCCCTTTGGGTTCTGATCACACTTTTGAAAGTAAAGGATGAATTACTACTAATTTTTATTCTTCTTTTGTTTATATAAAATTATATCATATTCCGTTTTCAAACACTAATTAGATTACAGTTACCATTCCAATTAATGTTAGAAAAGGGTGGAAACATGGAGGACCCTCTCTACTGTTAATATGGATCATATTCCTTTGTCAAAAAAAAAAAAAAATCTGTTAACGAATTGCATCCATCGAAATGCTTGAAATAGCTGCTCCCTGCCTTAAAAGTTATGAAGCCATTGGAGGAAAGGGTCCCCAATCGGAGAGGAAACATTTTTGCGAGCACCGACCCTACTAGAGCTTTCAAGTGTGAGCTGTCGAAGCACAGGCTATGTGGAATGTTTATGTTTGTTTTGAACTGACAAAAGAGAGTGCTCAATTATTGGTGGTAGGGGACAAGCATACACCCATGTGCTCATAACATAGAGGCTTGAAAATTTAAATGAAACAACCAACTAATTATTTGCCCGTGGCCCAATCTGGTATCCTTTTTCCTTCTGAACGTGGCCCAATAACTTAGGTTGCATGATGGTGCAGAAAGTTCGGCAAAATTGACCCAATATGCAAGTGGGCTAAGCATTTAGTCCATCAAGTCATTTTTAAAATTATTTAGGGATCTACGATAAATATTACAGTGTAAGAAAAACTCGTCATATCAGCATGACGAAATTTAATAAAATATATATTTTTATTAGATTTTATCACATCAGAGTGAAAGGTTTGAATAAAAATTTTTTTTTTTATTGAAGTATTTACCGTAAATCCTTAAATAATTTACTTAGTGCTATATTGAGTTAAATAATTAGCCCGCCTACCGAGACCAGAACTATCAATTTATTATGACGAGGATTAATTTTTTTTTCATAAATAAAATTTCTTTTAATGGATGGAGTCTGATAAAATTTTCTTTATTTATTTTTAAAAAATATATTTTTATATTAATAAATAATTAAAAATATAATTGATGCTTCCCTTGTCCCTTGGTTCCGCCCTGCCGCCTACGGTATTAGGTCAATTTTACCCAAAAAGGTCAGCAAAACAATACAACGCCTACTCTACCAATCTTTGTTAAACCGGTCTTTAAACAGAAACAAAGGGCTTTGTTTTAGATAAAATTGCTCAATACAATAGACATGTTAATTATTTCCAGTACAGCAGCAAGGAAATTATTTAAGGACATTATTACAGTGAAGAGAAGATAAAGGAGAGGAGAAGGAAGGAGGGAAGAAAGAAAGAAAAGAAAGAAAAAAATCATATTCGATTCAAAGGTATTTTTTTAATATTTTATTCATATAGTAGTATAAGTGATTTTTTGTTTGTTGTTGTTGTTGTTGTTGTTTAAATCAATTAGTTAATTTAGATTATTTTTAGATAAAGTTATTATTGTTTAAAATTAGATGGATTTTGAAGCACAAGGATTGGGTGTGGAGTTGTTGAAAGGGGAAGATGATGGGTATGGCCAACAGCCATCAAGGTTTAAGAGGCTTGCTTGTGGGATTAGTGGATCCCAAAAAATCGAATCAGGATCTGCTGCTTGTGTAATGATGTTTGATCATATTTATATTTTTGTTTGAGGGAAGCATCAATGCATCATCATTATTATTAGTATTTGTTTACATGTAGCGTACGTCTTATGTTTTAGAAATCTTCAATATTTAATATACTAATGCCCCTTAAAGCTTATTTAGTTTATCTAGCCGCTCCCACTTGAACTTGTTTATTCTTGTTTCATCTTAAAAGCAAAAACCATGGTGGCTTTCCCCCCCTTCCAATTCGCTAATGCTTGTTAAAGAAGTAACCGAATTGCTAATGAGACCTTGAATTTAATTGAATGAAAAAAAAAATACTGACTAGACATGCTTCTACTTTACCCCCACGGTGTCGAGGTCTAACTCCAAATAATCTAAAGAACACAAAATGTGGGCTGAATGTCCTCTGTCTCTTAGTTCTAGCAAGATTGCTCTAGTGGGTCTCATTATTCAAGATTTGAGGCTCTCGAGCCCAATTTGAAAACTCAGGTCCATCAAGCTTATGTGATTAGTTGAAATTCTACAAGTAATCAAGCAGGATGGAGCAATACCAAAGAACTATTAAAAGCATAAACTCCTTCCCGGATTCCCATCAAGACAGGTTGCTGTAACTTCCGTTAATATAAGAAGATACGAAATAATGGGAAAAAAGATACATAGATAGATAAATTGTGTAATTGATATTGTATGTCAAGGATTTGGCATCAAGATGTGATTTTGAATTTGGTGAGACTCATTTCGTTTTATAGGATAATTGCAGGAATTTTTCTGTGTTTTTGATGAACGTTAAGGTGCAAAGGCAGCTGAATTTGCGGCCCAGAAATTGGATAACAACATTTTAGATGAAGTTGTTATGAGAAAAGATGAAACCAACGTAAATGAAGCTGTCAAAGCAGGTTATTTGAAAACAGATGCCGAGTTTCTCAAGTAAGATGTCACCCGGTGGCACATGCTTTGATCCAAAATGGAAACGTTGTCGGGGACAGATCTACATGGTGTTCCGAAGGGGCTGTTGCCCCTCACTAATTTTTTGATATAATAGTATTTTAGTTCTTTTCTTTTAAATTTAAATATTAATTAAATGTAGATTATTGTTCTTTTGATATAAAATTATTTTACCCCTTAATTGATACCAACTCCGTCTCTGAACCTAGTTGTATCCAGCGATGGTGATTGTCGTGCAGTTGTGAGCAGAGATGGTGTTGTTAAAGCTCTCACCTCCGATCACCGACCGTCAACGGAGGAGAAAGGAACATAATTGTGACCTTGGTGAGTTGTTTATCAAATAAATCACTCTGAATTTTGCTTTGTTTACCCATTTTCATTCACCATGTGCAACTGTGATGAACTTGACGTGCTATTGGTTTTTGCAGGGTGGATGTGTGATATTTTCCCCCACTTGGTTGGCATCGGAGGCAGAATCATGTTTTGTGTTTAGTCATAAGCTGTCTGGATGACCCCTTCATCAAATCCGACCCACAAATAGCACTGTTGAGAAAAAGACCAAATGGCCAATTGCTATTTGATATTCCTACATCACACAGGTTCCTGGAAATACCGCAGTCTTTAGTGGAAAGAGCAACTTGGGGGTGTTTGTCGGCTTGCATTATCATTCATGTTCTCTGTTTTCAGAGTTCAAACTTTATTAATGTGTACGTTTATGAAAATCCCTGCTACAATTTTCTTCTCGTCTTCCAAAGAAAAGTGAAATTTATTGGTTAGGTTACGTTATTAAGTGAGCATTTTAATTAGAAGTACAATTGATACAATACTAACATAACGATGACTAAAATAGAATACTTAAAATAAATTACATGAAATGAAACTTAATGTTTGTGGAGATCTTATTTTACCACTTGAATCAAAATATGACAAGTCTTTAAATAATAAGTTTTGCTTCTATATATTTTTTTAAATTTGTTTATGAAATATATATAGTATAAATTATGATATTGTTAATAATATCATAAAATTTATGTATCTAATTGCAAAACTCGGACATGTTGGGGAGAATGAAAAAATTGACATCTCTCACAACCAGCATTACTCAGTTCTTTCTAGTTGCGACGTGTACGTACCATTTTCTGCCTTGGGTTTCAAACAACATCCTCAATTGGCACCACTCTCAAATTTTATTACTACCATTATTTTCTCCTTGCTCCTTACTTCTCAACCACGTCGCATCCCCATCTTTTTTGCTTGACTACTCGTTTTCTTAGGTGGACACCATGTAGTGTTGTTAGTAGTACCCTGTTTTTAGACAAAGCGTATTTGATTATGTTGATGCCGGTGGATTTTGCTACCTAATACTCTAAATCAAAATACCATGTGGAGTGTGAAAATGAGTTTTAATTCTACTTTAAACATAAATATTTGTTTTTTTTATAATATTAAACATAAATATTTGAGACACGTTTAAAGTGGGTGATTTTGGCTTGGAAATATGCTATTGCCCACCTACAATTTTGGTTTCCCTGAACCGTGTAAGCTACTACTATGACAACTATATGTCAAAAAACACCAACCCCCCGACAAGGCAAGATCAAATCTTGCAAGTAAAATACCCATTCCCAATCATATCAACGGCTCTCATTAACTCCACGTGGCCCTCGGTTTAAGGATAAAACCCAGGATCACCCTCCACCCCTCCATCCCTCCTCCCATTTCTTTCACATAAAAAAAACATGCCTTGTTCAAAGGAAAACAATTGTCGCGCCATTTGTCAAACCCTTATCCGAATTATCCATTTGTAGTTTCCACGTAAGACTAGGTATTTAAACCAGTTGAACCCTCAAGAAATACAAACCGAAAAAAGAAGAGAGTTCTTGAGTTTCAGAGATGGAGGAAAAGATGAGCGGTACCGAGAAGATTTCTTGGACCAGAGGGAAGTGTTTAGGCAAAGGCTCCTTTGGTACTGTAACATTGGCAACCAATGAATCCGACGGTGCTCTTTTTGCAGTTAAGTCCGTCGACTTAGCGACATGTCTTCCTACCCAGTTGGAGTCTTTGGACAACGAAATTAGGATCCTCCGTTCGCTGTCCTCTCCCTATGTCGTTGAGTATCTCGGCGATGACGTGACCACGAGCGAGTCGCAGACGACGACTTACCGGAATCTGCACATGGAGTACTTACCGGGTGGCACAGTTGCTGACGAAGCCATTGTTAAATCCCGATTGGCTGACGTGGAGGAGAAGATTTTGCGGTGGCACACGCGGTGTTTAGTTTCGGCGTTGAATTACTTGCACAGTGAAGGCATTGTTCACTGTGACGTGAAAGGAAAAAATGTTTTGGTGGGCCATGATTCAGCATCCGTAAAGCTGGCGGATTTCGGCTCAGCGACGACTGAGATTAAAAATGAAAGCTCGAGTGACAGGTATAGGTCCATAATATCGCCACGTGGAAGTCCTCTCTGGATGGCTCCGGAGGTGATTCGCGGTGATTATCAAGGACCGGAGAGTGATGTTTGGTCCTTAGGCTGTACCGTCATCGAAATGGTCACCGGGAAGCCTGCTTGGAAGGACCAAGGCTTCAACTCACTGAATCGAATTGCTAACTCAGATGAATTGCCGGAGATACCGACTCAGCTATCCGAAGTCGGTAAGGATTTCGTGGATAAGTGCTTGAGAAGGGATCAGAACCAGAGGTGGAGCAGCAATCAACTGCTGCAGCATCCATTCGTAGCATCGGCTTCAGCGCCGAATATGATCGGTGGATCATCTCCCCGCCGCGTTCTCGATTTCTCCAGCTCGGATTTCGAAGAAGACGAAAATACGGAGAATTCTGAAGCTTCAGCGAGAGAGAGGATGGGTAAATTAGCGACGGAAGCAAGGGCAATTTGGGAATTAGACGGATGGGTGACCATAAGGGGTTACTCTCCAGAATCGTGTGTGAACTGTGACGAAGGGACAAGTACGGAATATCCGGAATCGATGAGAACAGAGAAGGAAAGGGTGTTGTTCGATTCGTTTGATGACATGGGCAACAGTAACACTGTTGTGTGGCAATGTGGTAATTACAAGGGTGTGAAAGGGCAAAAATGGCGGGGTGGTGCGCTACGGTGCAACTGCTGGGCTGATTCTTCCCATCCAGAAACGTCACGAAAGGTGGAATTAGCGGTGGGGATGGGGGAGTTGGGAATATACAGATTTTGTAAACTATTATCACAACTATTTTTGTGTAATTTAAGAATATTCATATACAATTTATTGATAATTTTCAATTATCCATATTCTCCGCATTTCATTCTCAGCCTAAGTTTTTTGGTCAAATCAAACCTGGTTTGGAAGGAAATTTTCTCAGCCATCACAGAGCCAAGGCATTCGACAAAAGTTGAAGGCTTTGTCATAGACCGCTATCATTGACAATGGCACGCATTGTTGGCCAACTTCTTAATTCAAGTTGGTTTACACTAAGGCCGACGAAAAGTGATTCCAAGATGAAAAGGATAAGAAGAGGATGCAATTTGAGGAAACTAATTAAGGATTTGGAAACCAAAAATCTGTTTGCACCGAAAGGCGCATCCAAAATCCAAATCGTCTGCCTCTTGTCTCCTGGTATTAGCTATTACGGTGCTGATTTATTGACCATCGGGCATGTGAAAAGGCACACCACTATATTGTGTCGGTTCAAGTTGACGTGTGAGTGTGGGAATGGATATCTTTCCATTCAACAAAAGTGCTCCAATACGCATGTTTGCTTGGGTGACAGGAAACAAGAGATTAATAGAAACCGAATAAATGTAAAACCTCGTGATTGGTCGGGAAATGAAAGAGACTGATTTCAATCCAGGTCCATCCATGGTCTCTATCCAGTCCTTGAAACAAGATTATGCTTCGTCAACAAACATCGGGAAACCTTGAAATAACAACTAATTGTTCATATTCATCGTCTTATGATGTTAGATTCATTTCATTTCTCGTTGGATCCTTGTTCGCATTCAAGTTTCCCGCGAAGTCGGTTATTTTGTGTAAAAGAGTTGAGAAAGTTATGAAATTTTTAACACTCAAATTAAAAGTTTTGTATACAAAGAATTTAAATATATTTTTCAAATAATAAAATTCAGTGTGAGCACAATAAAAAAATGGATTTCAGTACTTACCATCACAAGGATGGATTGAGAGGGAGGAGTACTGCTCTTAATTTTTTTTTTAATTTTAGATATTTGTGAGATGATTATATATATATAAGACGAAACACAATAAATATAAGATGATTATGACTTGCGAGTATTTATCAATATAAAAAAATTCAAGGCTCAAAGATAAGAATGAGTCAATGAAATGATCACATAATTATTAAGTAGAAAGACATCAATAAATCTAACCTTGAAATGTATTATAAAAATAGGACAAAAACATGCTACAATAATAGTTAATAATATATTATAAGAGTAAATAACACATTCATCATTTCTAAGAAAATGTAAAAATTATAAAAATAAATAAAATAACAAACAATATATCTACAAAATAAAACTTAGAGATATGAGAAAAAAATAAGATGAATGAAACAATACCAAGAGTTGATATGATCAAATGATTCAAATGGTTGACTCAAATATTATAAACGGTTAACTTTATTAATTTTAGCGATAAAAATTAAATTAAAAAAATAAGATTTTCTTGGCTAATATATCCTAATAAAGATAACGGTTTTTTTTAGTCCATTAGGGCAAGTAAAAATTTATTTTAGGACCTACGATATTTTCTACAGTGTTATTGGAACTTATCACGCCGAGGTGACGAGTTCAAATAAAATATAATTTTTTATTAAAATTTATCACATCGAGGTAAAAAGTTATAATAAAAAATATTTTTTATTATAACTCGTCATCTCGACGTGACGAGTTCCATGTTACTGTAGAAAAAACCATAGATCCTAAAATAAATTTTTCCTTGCTCTAATGGGCTAAATAAAAAAAACTATTTACTTTTTTGGGCCAATTTTGTAACATCCTCAATACCGAGTTAGTGACTAAATTGTAAAGCCTTAGAATTTGGTGGTTAAAATAAAATGAATGAATAGTATAAAGATTTACATGTAAATTATTGTGTATGATAGAATTGAAAGGAAGAAGAAATGAAAGGACAATAGAGTAATTGCAAGGAAAAATAATTAAAGAAGTGATAAGTATGTATATATAAGGATACACGTTGGTGGAAGGGGAGAAAATACCCAAGGCTTCCAGAGTTCTCTTCTTCTTCTTTCTTCCTTGTGAGTGTGAACCAAAGCAAAGGTAAGATTTCTGATTATTGAGTTTCTTGTTAAATTTAATATTGGTTTTTAATTATTAGATGATAACTAAGCTTAAGGAAAGCTTAAGTTATCTTAACATCAAAGGATGATGGAGTTATGAGAGATTTAAGATTTGAAGTTCTTAAATAAAATCTTGGAATAGAGTTCATAACTAGAATTGAAAGTTAAATTTGACTTGTCATCAATCTAGTTAAGATATACGAAGTGTTAAAAGTGGAATTCAAACATGTTGAATTATTGATGTAATTCTTGAATTACATATGAAGGATAGGATTTGGAGGTTTATGATGAAATAAATGAGTATAAATTGGTTTAAGGATGTATACTATAGTTAAGAATGAAAAAGGGGATTAAACATGAAGGATTTAATCCAAAATGAATGAATTTTCGGGTTCAAAAAGAGGATTCTGGGCAGAGTGCATCGATGCATATTCATAGTGCATCGATTCATCAAGGTTAAAACCCAGAAATTGTTTGAAGGTGTATCGATGCACATGTAGTGCATCGATGCACTCTTTTAAAATATAAACATCGAATGCAATTAGTGCATCGATGCATAAGGCATGCATCGATGCATTCCATTAATAATAAAAAATCGAATGCATTTTATGCACCGATGCACAAGTAGTGCATCAATGCATACCTTCATTAAAAGAGGTAATTGGTATTTATCTTAATCTAAAGAGTGAACCATTAGAGTATATTAGCTATAATATTGATATAGATCCATGTGTGATTATGTAGATACTAAAAGTAAGCTTATACCGAAACGATCAAATGATTAAAATTGAATCAAAGCAAAACTAAGGTGAGAGCATACTATATGTATAGTATAATGGAATAAGACTTGTGATAAGTCTAATTCCTATATTGATTTTCATAGTACAATAGTTGTGAACATGCATACATGATAATTATTGTAATACATGCATAAGGCATATATATGTTCAGTGATTGGATAAATGATGTATATATATATGAATAGATTCAAATACACATATGATATGATATGTGATATGAGAACATGACATGAGCTACATGATCACAAGAGAAATGACATGAGCTACATGATCACAAGAGAAATGACATGAGTACATGAACATATGAAATATAAGAATGATGCCCATAGTATATGATATGAGAACTATAGGTATAATTGGCATGCCAAGAGTCGAGGGTATAATAGTCCTTCGGGATGTAGTGGTCCTACGGGACATATATGACAGTCCTTCGGGACGAATACTGAACTAAGGTTCGGTGCCCCATGAGGGAATTGATACGAGCTGTGGTGACAGCATTAGTGCACAACCTCTATGTACTCATATACCTCTATTCTCAATAATATACATGGGCAATTGAAATACAAAGTAAAGTGAAAGTGGTACAAGAAGGTAAGTTTTGTACATGCATGATATGATTATATATGTTATTGTATAATAGATACATACATATTGAAATGTCATGGAGGAATTTGTAAGAATGCATATTCATGAGGATATTGTTTCATATTCATTTATTGTCTCACTAAGTCTATGACTTAGCGTGTAAGTGATTTACACGTAGGTACCAAGAAATAAGAAGATTCAGAATAGAAGTGGCACGGACAACAATATTACTAAGAAATCAGATCAGAAGTAATTGACAAAGTAGGTATTTTGTTATGTATAAAGTGTTGGTATGTAATAAGTGGTTAATTACGAATGCTCTGATCGATTTTGTATTAAGTGGTCTCTTTTATTTAAATTAAAGTATTTTGTTTTAATGAAAGTTTTAAATTCCCGGGATTTTTCTTTAAGAATCAAAGTTTGAAAAGTTAATGTGATATCTCGGACTTGTATTCGGGTCGAATATGAGTTAGGGGTATTACATTTAATGGTATCAGAGCTACGGTTTAGTCGATTCTCGGCATAAACCAGAGTCTAGAGTGTCTGATAATGTATATATACAAACAAAATAGTAGAAACTTCTGATCTGATGGAATAGTAAGTATGTTGTTTTGCTAATAGAACTATATGGTTGCATTTTTATAGATGTCCGAACGAGGTAGTTCTAGGAATGAAGCGGGAGATGATAGACCCGCTGATAGCAATAATTCACCTGCCCTGGCCAGGCAGAGTGAAGAACAGACATCCTCTGGAATGCCTGTAAATGATCAAGATATATTCTTTAGAACGTTAGATGCGATATTGATGTGTTTCCAACCTCCTGTTACTTCAACTCCAAAAATGAATGTTGCGAAAGAGTTGAAGGGATTATGAGCTCTAGAGTTTAGAGGGGAAGCCGATGAATGTCCTGTTACTGCGGACCTTTGGCTTAATGACATGAAGGTCATGCTTACGGGACTTCATTGTTCTGATGCTGAGAAGCTGAATGGAGTAATTTTCTTGTTGAGAGGACAAGCAAGGATCTGGTGGACCAATGTTACATTGAGGATGTCTAACGCCCAAGTAACTTGGTCATTGTTTTTAGAAGAATTCAAGCATAAGTATATCGGGGATCAATTTGTTCGTCAAATGAAGCAAGAGTTCATGAATCTGAAGCAATGAAATCACACTGTATATGAGTACGAGTGTGAATTCAATAAGTTGAGCCGCTTTGCTGCCGAGTTAATTCTTACGGAGAATGATACTTGTGAGTGGTTTGTAGAGGGGTTACATCATCGGTTGAAGGAAATGTTAATTATCTTGAATTTATCCTCGTTTCAAGAGGTAGTCAACCGTGCCAAGGCTTTGGAAAGAGCTCAGAACGAGAAGTTTGAAAATTCGAGAGCTCAGCAGTCAAAAGATTGGGTGCTTCTTCGAGTTTCGCACCATCAAAAAGGGGCAGAGATGCTGGTTTTCGACCCCAAGTTAGATCAGAGTCAGTGGCATCCTCTACTAGAGGATCAAATCAGATAAGAGGTAGACAAACTCAGTCAGTGGGATCTGGAGCTAGGAGATCTAATCAGAGTTAAGCCAGACAATGACCACATTTTGGAAAGAATTATTCAGGGATATGCCGGATGATTTCTGGAGTCTGCTTTAGATGTGGGGACGCTGGGCATTTTTTTTGGGATTGTCCAATGTTAAACAGTGAATCTACACAGCCAGAGAGATCTATTTTTTTA